TCCGACATTTAGGATTAATGACGCTCTGTAAACTTCCTCTTCCGTGGTATTTAAAAAAAAACAATTATTGAAAATCAGACTGGATTTTCATTTCATAGAGAAAAGGTATAGTAGAAACACGTTGAGGTGTTTTGAATTTGTTTTTTTTTTAAATTTGAATATGTTTCCGAACAAACAACAAGATGTCGACATTATACGAGGGTTGTTCGAAATGTATTGTGTATTGTACTACAGGCGCGATAACGCCTTGCACGATTTCGTCGATATTTATACGCCTGGATAATTCTATTCAATACATTGCCAACAGTATAAACACGAGCCTTCAACTACACATGGTTATAAAAAAATCGTCCTTTCAAATGAGCCAGTCGTTGACCACTGTTGTAAAAATGGTTGAGAAAAAGGTTGAGAATATTGAATAAAATTAGAGGTTATATAAAAGTTTGCACAAAACTCGGTAATTCGGTTAAGCAGATTTTTAATGAATTGAGCGAAGTTTATGGGTCTGATAAGGTATCTTATGAAACAGTTCGTACGTGGGGACAGAAATTTCTGACTGGCACAGAGTCCGTCAAAGATGCAGCAGAATCCGGTCGACCTGTGACTGTATCAGGCAAGACAAATGTCTCAAAAGTCAAGGAAATAAATGAAAGTGATGGCAGGTACACGATTCGTGATATTGCCAAAGCTGTTGGCATATCGCTATCGCGGGTGCATTTCATTTTGAAGCGTATTTTGAAGGTACGAAAGATTTCTGCCAGATGGATACCCCATATATTGACAGATGGCAAAAAAAAGGTGCGAATACAAACAGCTAAGCGACTGCTAAAACTGTTTCCAAACTTAAATCAAAGAAAATTTGCAAACATAGTTACTGGTGACGAAACATGGGTTTACTATTTCGAACCAGTTAGAAAAGTTGGAAACAAATTATGGCTAACTAAACACGGTAGAAGGCCTGTAGTTGCCAAAAGGACAATGAGCACAAAGAAGGTCCTTTATTGCATATTCTGTGATGGTTTAACCGTACAAATTCCGGTGCCGAAGGGCAAAAGCGTTACAGGTCGGTATTACCGAGATGTTGTACTGAAAAAGCTCAAGAAATATTATCAGAAACGACGTCCTGTGTCGGGATTTAGGCATGTTCGCCTTCTTCATGATAATACTCCATCACATACATCTGAGCTTGTGAAGCAATTTTGAAGTCTGAGAAGGTTACCGTCTTGCCACACCCACCATACTCTCCGGATCTAGCACCATGCGACTTTTTCCTTTTTCCAAAACTTAAAAAAGTTCTTATCTGGTCGTCGATACAAGTCCCGACAGGAGAATACTTTGAAGGGATGTAATGTCCATTTGACTATTTGAATCGAATGTTTTTAAGATATCGTACAATGCACAAAACATATCGAACAACCCTCGTATGTCAGTTAGTAAACTTCTTTTTTTCATAGTTGTTAAAATGTGAATTATCAAAAATTATGAGGAAACCCAAGCTGAATAACAATGGTTGAGCAAATGTAATTCTGGATTTGTTTGTTTAAAATATTTAAAATAAAACAATTTTCTTAGTATTTAAGACATATAATTTGAAATTTTAGCTACTCGACAATAGCAAATTCAATGTCTGCTGAATTCGTGAATTGTATCTGCAAAGTATATTCTGAAATATTCAAAATTTTTAATAAGCATGGAATCAAAAACGTATACAGAATATTTAAAAAAAAAAAGTTTCTTTTTCTTTTTTATACACTTTAATGATCTGTCAATACAGAAAATGTAAAATTATGAAGATATATGTAATTTTAACCAAAATTTAAGAACTTAATATGGAAACACTTACCTAAGATTCCCGTGGCAGGTCCTGCAAAAATGAGTTGATATTTTCCTGCTTCGTCGGAGACAGAGAATCGGTCGTACATTTCATACTGCGTTGTACCATTCAGTAGAGTAATGGACACATACAGGGAAGAGGTGTTTTCTATCGTTAACTGGTGGATTACGTCATTTCCTGTATTAAAAAAAAAATAATTCTTATTTGAATATAATAATATTTTATTGAGTAATCAAATTACTTTACTGTTTTAAGATATGTTCAAAATCAATAGTTATGTACGAAAGACGAATAGGGCCACATAAAAAAATATTTTATCTCGTAATTACGAGATAATTATCTCGTTATTACGAGAAAAGATCTCGTTATTACGAGATAATTATCTCGTTATTACGAAATAATTATCTCGTTATTACGAGAAAAGATCCCGTAATTACGAGAAAAGATCTCGAAATTACGAGTTAATTATCTCGTTATTACGAGAAAAGATCTCGTTATAACGAATTAATTATCTCGTTATTACGAGAAAAGATCTCGTTATAACGAGAAAAGGTCTCGTTATAACGAGTTAATTATTTCGTAATTACGAGAAAAGATCTCGTTATTACGAGTTAATTATCAAATCCTTTCTTAAATTTTGGTTTGATTCTTCATATAACAAAACAAATGTTGATTGTGTTTTCGGGCAACATTAATTATATTAGCCCCCTTTGTATCCGCTTCGCGCCGGGCAATATTTTGTCCATCGGGGGCTAATATTATCAATATCTCCCTCAACCCCAGTTAATATTTTTATAAAACAACATTAACCTCGGTACACTTTATTAAAATACAATCAAGTTACGTAACAATGGTTTTGCACACTGATCTGTAAGATTTTTTTCGGCATCAGTAAATTTCGACCTACAATCCAATATTCCAAGCATCGCATTCTCACGTTCTTGCGAGAATCAAATTAAAGCTTTTGAGAACCGTAATAATTAACTCGTAATAACGAGATCTTTTCTCGTCATTACGAGATAATTAACTCGTAATTTCGAGATTATTAACTCGTAATAACGAGATCTTTTCTTGTTATAACGAGATAATTAACTCGTAATAACGAGATATTTTCTCGTAATAACGAGATAATTAACTCGTAATAACGAGATCTTTTCTCGTTATAACGAGATCTTTTCTCGTAATTACGAGATAAAAATATTTTTTTATGTGGCCCTATTCGTCTTTCGTAGTTATGTGTATAACAATAATATTGTTTCTCAGAAAAAGCCCATGAGAAAATATTACAATCTAAAGATGTTTGTAAAATTCAGTGTTTAAAACTGTATCAGACTATATAAATGCCCATTGTATAGTATTTAAATGCATGTTATTAAACTACGTAGATGCAGATATCTATTCTATAATCTGCTCCTATATCTTGCTTTATTTAGATATACGAGGGTTGTCCCGGAAAATCGTGGACAAGGTATTTCTTTTTAATAATAATGGGCACACTAAGATGAATTTTTCAGTAAATGTTTATTTATCATTCTGAGGTGTTTCATACATTATTGACAGTTATCAAGATTTTATTATGCTTAAATGTGTACAGGTACGGTCCTACAGTACCCGGTCAAAAACAAAGGTTATATTAGAAAATACATGAGTATTGATTCGGAATAAAAGATTTAAACACATGAGATTGGGGCTAAGAATTATCCTTAGTCGGTTCCACAATTTATTTTGTCGTCTTTTCAAAAATTTCAAGGCATTTGGTTAAATTTTAATGCAATTTCCTGAGCATTCGAAATGGGAAAGTAGTAAACACAACACACGATAACAATGACGTTTGACGACGTAACGGCGCACCGAAGAGCAGTTTAGTTTGATTTAGATGGTGTCATAACACCTTAAGAGACTTTAAATGAAAACAGAAGAAAAAATATCAGAATAAAAATCCCCAGATCTTTAGTTTACAAATGAAATGGGACATTTCTTAGTTTAGTCGTTCTTGATCGAGTCCCCATGTAGTACAAAACATTCGGACAGACTACTATTGTAAGAACAAAAGACGTTGTCACTGTTGACCGTCAATATTACATATATGTCCATTATTTGAATGATGACGGGAATAGTGCCTGTAACATTCTAATAAATTTTCAGTTCAGGAAGATTACACCTATGTGCCAGATGGGTTCCTCACCTGTTTATGGAGACAAAATTATTAGCATCAAGAAAATTACTTAATTTAAGTGGGACTCATCCCGCTTCATTTTAGCTCAAAGATCAAACGTGACGCTGTCTTAGAGTTTTCCACGTTATCATCCATGCACCGTAAGGCGATACAATTCATAACATAAAATATCATAATTTGTTAATTTATGCATCTATCTATTTGAAATGCTATGTTTATTCAGAAAATATGCACGAAAGAGTAAAGAAAATTTTAAGGTGCAGTGATTATTATTCACGAGAGACAACTTGTCCACGATTTTTCTGGACAACCCATGTATTTACATTTGCTATGTTTTCTATAAAACAAACAGTGAAGTTGATTTGAATACGGTTTCAATTTATACTCACGCGAAGAAATATACACGGAAAAAAGTGCGCTAACATGATGTCACAATAAAGTTACAGAGACGTTCGAAAAATGCAACGAAATAGGGTATTAAGAGAAATGTAAATATAAAGAATGTTTATTAGTTGTGTGAATTATGGATGTGCAAATCACACAGACTTTGCACGTAGATATATTTTTCAATAAGCGCTAGCGTGCTTAATGAAATATGCCTTCGTGATTAGTCTTTGTGATTCACAGACCCAGAATTCACTCAAATATTAAAAACATAAGGACTTTCAAACACTAAAGGACTTTCAAATACGAAAAGTCCTTTGATATTCCATTCTTTTATGTCATTTCTTTCCTTGATTTTGATAAAAAACTCGTGAATGTATTTTTAATTTAACTTTAAACTGCTAAATACAAGGCCAATACAAGTAAAGTACTGTTTATATCATTCAAGCATCAATTTATTTTTTTACTGCTTTCAAAATTCAAATGTTTATACACAGGGAAAAGTGGCTCGCATGATTTTCATATGAAATTCGCACGAATATCATGTGAATTCTTCGCATGAAAAGGAGACGAAAAACAAGTCGCATGATATTCGCATAAAAATATCATGTGATTTTTACATGAAATTCGCATGAATATCATGCGAAAAAAAATTCGCACGAAATTCATATGAATATTTTTGCTACTTTCTTTACAGATTTTCATATGAATTTCGTGTGAATTTTATGTGATATTCATATCAAATCCATGTGATGTACACAGTTATATAGGACTTTCAATTCTTTTAATCCATTTGAGGAAAAGTATTAGGAAATTCTAATACTTAGATCTGTATATGAATTTCTACAACTAATCATCAAGGTTTCACTGTTACTGATATTCATAAAGATGCAATAAGTACAATCTCAAAATCTGATCCAGCAAATGACTTAATGAGCTTTATCTTAATCTTCATTTGAAACTGCTTAATTTAAACACATGCAGATTTTGAGGAAGCACCACTATGATTATCCAAGTTATTCTTTTGATGAACAAACAACTGGACACATTCTGTTTCTTAATCTTCTTTATTGAATGCTTCAATTTTTGACAATTCTCTGCTCAAGGGCCACCCATATGTCTGGAGATAATGTTTCATCTGCAAGAGAAAATAATTGTAATGACTACTTGGTACCGGTAAATGAAATACAGTCATGAATTTTACAACTGCATTTCCAAAGTCAATATTTCCATAGCATATTTATCAAGATAACATAAAATATGAACAAATGTAGATATAGCAAATTCATATCATCCCAGTATAAGGTTGAACTCATATTGCTTTCACTGTAAATGATCTTTAAAAAATTCAAAATCATACATCATAAATTATAATTCATTCAAAATCATACATCAATGTTTCTTAAGTATAAAATTATTGAAAAAAAAAAACAAGAGGCCCATTAGCCACAATGCTCACCCGAGCATTGTGGCTAGGAAAAAGGAGAAATTGGATTACAATACTATTGAAAAGTTTAAATCCAAAAGTTTGGGCCCCGCCCTACCCCAGGGGATCATGATTTGAACAAACTTGAATCTACACTACCTGGGAATGGTTCCATATAAATATGACCAATTATGGCTTTGCTGTTCTTAAGAAGAAGATTTTTAAAGAATTTTCCAATATATTTCTATATAAAACTCTGGTCGGCCATTGTGGCCCCACCCCACCCCCGGGGGTCATGATTTGAACAAACTTGAATCTACACTACCTGGGGATGCTTCCATATAAATATGACCAATTATTGCTTTGCTGTTCTTAAGAAGATTTTTAAAGAATTTTCCTATATATTTCTATATAAAACTTTGGTCAGCCATTGTGGCCCGCCCTATCCCCGGGGGTCATGATTTGAACAAACTTGAATCCCCTTCACCTAAGGATGCTTTGTGGCAAGTTTGGTTGAAATTGGCCCAGCAGTTCATGAGAAGAAGTTCGGAAATGTGATACAGACAGATAGACAGACGGACGCCAGACAAATGTGATCAGAAAAGCTTGCTGAGCCTTCGGCTCAGGTGAGCTAAAAATGAAAACATTTTCCTGCAAATGACTTTAAACTTTAAACAGTATAATCTTGTGTCAGGTCTCAAACAAACCTTGAGATAATATCGTCTCTTTTTCATTGACCTAGATCTGATGATGCAATTTGTATGTGTTGCAAGGGAATTTAAAGGCAAAATTTACCTACCATTGCATCTATGTTTCTTCTGAAGTCACGCCAGAAATCTATCAGGCTGTGATTAATGTGGTAGCTGGATTTCTTCTGAACAATTTGTGTCCATCAGCAAAAGCTCACTGTAAAGCAAAGAACAGAAATAAATCTAAAAATATTATTAAGACTGGTCATGATTTTAATTTATATCTCATTTTATTTTTCTTATTATGAAATCAAATAACACGATCAACTTTTTAAAGTAATATTAATAAGTTTGAATCTTTGTAATTATTTAAACGGTCATGAAAAAATAATTATGCATTAATTTTGCTTCCATTATCAAAGATTCTTAGGTTTATTTTGTTTTTGCACTGTATGTCCATCTTTTTGTCTACCAGTATTTGTCTGCAAAACTTTTAACCTTATCAATTTCTTATGAGTGGGTGGAGCTATGGCTTCATATTCCACAGGTATATTTCTTGTGACAAGAACTTTTTTGGGGTACTATAAAATTTGACCTCTTGACCTTGATATTAGGGTTTGATCCACTTTTACAACAACAACAAAAAAATCCCTAAACTTTGACCTAGGATATAATTTTGAACATCTAGTGCTATCAATCTGATACTTCACATTATTTTGTAATCATTGTGACAAGACCCTTCAAAGAGTTTTTTTTTTACCATTTGGTCTTGACCTAAGAGTTTGACCCACTTTTAAAAACTATAATCTAGGCCAGAACTTTTTCACAGTTAATACTACTAAATGTCTCATATTTCACAGGTTTATTCCATATGACTAAACCTAAATCCTTCAGATGTTAACAATTTTGACCTTTTCACCTTGACCTTTGAGTTTGCCTTGCATTTCAGAAACTTCAGTACTTGCTTTAAGCTGTCATATAGGCATATATAAAGGCGTAAACAACTAAACATAGGATAATATAATATATGTATGCATTAAGTTTATTTGCTGAGTACCTAGGATCAGAAAAGATGACTGTCAAAGAATTACTGCATTTTTGATATCTCTACCATAACATCAGAACCTATCTATTACCAAGGGGCAACATAGTGTACAATTTTGGAAATGCAAAGTTTTACCATGCAAAATTTGGTTGATAATGGTTCAGTCGGTATTGGACAATTGATGACACACAACAACTGATGGATAGAGAAGCAATAGGTGTAAAAACAAATAACAATAAATTGACACATGCATGCCTCAAGTGTCCTCATGGATTTCAATCCTTACCAATGCAAGGGTCACCTTGAAGTTGATCTTCACTGGCATGTCTGAATCGGATGGTGATAACCAGAATGCCGAGAAGTCAGGTATACCCCATCAGTCAAACCTTTATTGGCACTTGCTCCACATTCTTCTGTTGTGTCAGTAGCTGAAATGTATCATATTGAGAATCTCACAAATTTAATAACTTTTTATAAGCTGGTATTTTTACAATTGTTATTTTTTTTAAGTAAAATGTGTTTAAAGTTTGGATCAACAATGAAAATGAAAAAAATAATTATGACAGACAAATTTTGACTGCAAAAAGGGCTAATTAACTTAAGCTTCTGGCTTAGGTGAGAAAAATTAAATGAAATATTTCCAGCGTAGTCAAAATTGTCAAAATTTTAAACAAAAGGTCCAGGGGCCACATCGCTAACCTGAGCACATCGGCTAGGAAAATGTATAAATCAGATCAGAATTGAAAGTTTACTGAAAGGGTGTGGTGGTGGTTTGGCGAGGGAATTTGACTCCCCATCATTTCCCACCCTACCACAAAGGGTACTCATGATTTGAACAAATTTACATCTTCAATACATGAGGATGCTTGTAAACATGTCAATATGACTAAATATAGCTTTTCTGTTATTGAGCCTTTGGCTCAGGTGAGCTAAAAAAAAGTGTCCAAAAAATAATAAAATACTTGCATGTACTTTTGACAAATCAGGATGATTTAGGAGTTAGGACTATTCTGGTACTTGAATTCTGATCCTTGTGATGACAAGTAACTGTGCCTACAGAGAAACTCAAAAATGTCAGATAATGTAGGATCAATAACAATGAGTTCATTATCCCTTTGTCACTTTATTTAAAACATGTATTTTACAAATTAACGAAGATTATATTTACATTTAAAAAATGCAAGATAAGCAAAAATAAGCTGAATGGTTAAGGTTTTGCTACATGTATACATGTATAATAAAAAAATTGTTATACATGTTTAATAACAAAATTGTTATACATGTAATAACAATATCCTTTTTATAAAACAATGAATACTATTAACCAACTTTTATTCGTGTGTGAGAAACTTTCCCGAACTTCGCGAGAGCCTTGTCATCGTGAATATTTCTCCCCACGAACCTGTCCTAAAAGTATATTTGTCCACGAAAAACAGATGCATAAAGGCTTGATTGCGAAAATTAGAGGTCGCGAACTAGTTTATCCCTGGTATATCGTGAAATAAAGTTGCCGCGAATAAAAGTTGGTTTACAGCACCTCAGGCTCTGCAACAAATTTTAAATTTCTCTCTTAGATTTTTTTTTACCTGTGTACATGTATCATATTTATAATCTTGGAGAAGCTATAAGTGTGGTATAATGGAGTGCCCTGCAAATACCTGCAAGTACAGAAAACAACATTTAATAAATATTTTTGAAACTGATAAATATTTTGTAAATATACATGTATGTACAGTACAACTCATTTTTGGGAAGTGACTATATAGGAATTTCAGTCTTGCATTCTAGATGTAAATATAAGCCTCTGAATTTATATATCTGCAAATATTTTGGAATTCACACAGGTCCTTGTGGACAGAGTAGTTGGGTATTTTTTTGTTGAGGGGTTGAAAGATTTTTCAAGGGGGGTGGGGGTGTTTAGGTTCCACGTTCGTTCGTCCTAAAAATTGTTCGCCCGATTTCCCGTTCGCCCGATTTTTCAATCGCCCAGACTCTTCTTGCCCTAAATCTTGTTCGCACAGGGTCTAATTTAATGTAGATATTGGGCAAAAAATATTTCGGATGTACTTTAAAAACCATGCTCTACCCGGTATCCTATTGAGTTATTTAACTACATGTATGTGTAAAATATCTTTTCCTCTTCATACCCTGCAGTAACGGGGTCATTCGCCCGATCTACCCGTTCCCAGGAGTCTGTTCGCGCAGAGTCCGTTCATCCGAAATATGGTTTGTTCCAGACTTTCCTTTTGACTGATTGTGATCTCATTCCTTAAAACAATGGTAAATATGTATGTTTTGTTAATTGTTTCTCATATTTTGTGTTTATAATGCACATATTTATTGATAATTCAACTTGCAACGAAATCTTTCAGAGTAAATTAGGATTTCGTTCTCATTTCAGGTTCTACGTAACGCAGCCAGGTGAATCGAATGGTCTTTTTATGCTTATTGACATCTATTTAAAGGTTTACTAAATTTTGAGTACGTTATTTAAAGTTATTTTTATTTTAACTATTACTGTCATTACAAGTCTCTACACATGTGTCAGAACAAACTACACAGTCTGCGTTTTGTTCCGAGACATATGTATTCTCTTTAGAGAAGCGGACAGGCTATCGCCTACATCGAAGTGGATGTAGGCGATAGCCTGTCCGCTTCTTTAAAGAGAATAACAATGGAGAGGGCTCATATAGGCTATGCCTGCTGCCCAATCCAATTATGTATTTTACATAATAAAATATGTTCAAATCAAATCAAATCAAAGAGAATAACACATAACTCATTAAACTATTGTATTTGATTTATTCACAATTGAGGTACTATCTAATTATTTTATTCAGATTTAAAAAAAAATCAATCTTTTCAGTATTGTACTTTTGTAAGTAATTTATTGAAAATTCACAATGACATGTTTATTGCCATCCAATACGAATATCACAATTAAAATGAAACATTTTATCTCATTTGATTCAATAGCAGCCTGATATCAGGATATATAGAGTAGGTCAGTAAGACACTGTTTGTGTTGAAGTCTATTATGCAGTTATGAATGTGTTTAACACATGGTCTTTTGTTTTGCTCTAAACATACCATTTAACATACTCAGTAATACAGGTTGCCAAAACATTGACTTTTCAAGTGATATAATTGAATTCATTGTATTTGTATTTGTATATTCATTGTATGTCTTCCTAATTTAGGAATTGGTCCCTTTGACCTAAACAATTGGAATATAAGTATGGGTAGTAGTATTTTATAATAATCAAAATCTCTTTGTAGGAAAGCTTGTCAGGACACAAGACTGAAAAAGACGTACTGAAAAACTGCCTGTAAACACAGATATCATTAAAGTCAATGGATTACCCAGGAGTATCCAAGCAATATAATATCAGAGACTGGCAATTTTTATCACTCAATGTGGCAGAAAAACCTAAATAAACATTGAAATGTTCAATTTCTTTGTTAATTGCTTTTTTCTCATGTATATGAATATCACATGATATTTATGCGAATTTATGCGAATTTCGTACGATTTTTACATGAAAAACTGATAATTTGGAATTCGCATGAATATCATGTGAAATTTCAGTCACATGAAAATCGCATGAATTTCGCATAAATATCGTATGAGGACCTTCGCATGAATTTCGCATGTGTGATTTTTCGCACGATTTTTGTATGATTTTCGCATGAATTTCATGCGAAAAGCAAATCGCATGAAAATCATGCGAGCCACTTTTCCCTGTGTAGAAATCTTGATTAGACTTTTAAACAAATGAAAGGCCCGGTATTGGCTTATATTTACCAATCCAAAATTCCTGTTTCGGTTCACCAAAACCATTTTTGTTAGGCTAGTTTTGATTGCCTTAAAAGGGTGTATGTACATTTATTAGGCTAGTTTGGTTTGCCTCGGAAAGATGTATGTACATTTATTAGGCTAGTTTGGATTGCCTCGGAAAGATGTTTGTACATTTATTAGGCTAGTTTGGATTGCCTCGGAAAGATGTATGTGCATTTATAAGGCTAGTTTGGATTGCCTTGGAAAGATGTATGTACATTTATTAGGCTAGTTTGGATTACCTATGAAAGATGTATGTACATTCATTAGGCTAGTTTGGAATGCCTTGGAAGGATGTATTTACATTTATTAGGCTAGTCTGGATTGCCTTTGAAAGATGTATGTGAATTTATTAGGCTAGTTTGGATTGCCTTGGAAAGAGGTATGTTCATTTATTAGGCTAGTTTGGATTGCCTTGGAAAGATGTATCTACATTCATTAGGCTAGTTTGGATTGCCTTGGAAAGATGTATTTACATTTATTAGGCTAATCTGGATTGCATTTGAAAGATGTATGTACATTTATTAGGCTAGTTTGGATTGCCTTGGAAGGATGTATTTATCACCAGCTTGCGAACTCAAAACCCCTGGTTTGCGACGATGTATTCAAGGTTACCATCAACAGACACTAGCTAGATTGTCATTTTTTTTCTTTCTCTGATTAAAACAAGCATTTGCTTTTATCTTTGGGTACGAATGGTTCTTTTCGGACACAATAATTGATTTTCATATTATAATTCTGTGCTTATCTTTTCTATCAAATGTATCTATCTTTGTATATTCAATTAAAATATAATTTTAGATTTCAAGTAATTTCTATTCAGATGTAAGTATGTCTGAATACTTTACATTTTGTTCGCTTTACGTTCGAAAATTTTTCACTCATATTGAGACACCACCACTTTTCAATGGAGCTAGCTACATGTAGGTCTATACATTTTTACCCATACACAGCACTCAGAACCATTGAGCAGTAAGGGGTCGTTTTTTGCCATCACCTACAGCGAAATGGGATTTCGGTTTATAATGACTTCATCAAAAGAGTTCATCTCAAAATGCATCCCGCAGGAACTTGCGACGCAAGGAGTCAATGACTTACTTTGAATCTCTAGAGCTAAGTATTTTAACAACTGCACCACGCGAGTGACACTTAGTCTTTTGTGATTTTGATTTGACTCAAATGTAATTTGAAGTAAATGTAATTGTCTCAATAATTTTCGAACAACCCTCATATACCAGTCCGATAAAAACTAGCCTTTGTTTACAAGTTGTATACAATTAATACATCACTTTTGTCAGCTGCACAGTCTCTAACTTTTTTGTTTGTCCTTATTTTTGTTAGACCTTAATTAAATCTTCATGATAAAGGCCAAAACTATATTTTTTCATTAAATTCTACTCACAACAAATGTGTAAATCTGTTGGTAAATATCAAAGCATTTCAATAATGCCTCGAACAGCTGAAAAACACCTCGATCGGCGCTGTCGTACTTTAAGGTAAACTGTCGCCCGTGTCTCTGTGTTAACATCACAAATATGCCCTTAGTTACTGAATTGAGATTGAATGTTCTCGATCAAATTTAATAATTGACTAGACTAACTGGCTCTGACAATATTATCTAAATCCATCAGATCCATCCCTTTCAGGCGACCGAAATTCCTTCAACTTTTGATCATCAATTCTCCGACGTGTTTCTTGTGTCTTTTCAGCATTAATGATCAATTTTCAGAAACAAAAATATTCCCAGACAAGAATATGTTCACAATTACGTATCAAAAGTAGCCCTTGACAAAATATTCCCTTTGAAATAGAATTCACAGTCTGACGAATTCGAAGCGTAACCGCCTTTCAAGGCGATTTACACCTTGTATACTTTTGACAGAAATCTAAGGAGAACTGTTAGTGCAATATTTATATCTAAATATATTTAAATTAATATTTAATTGTCAATCTCAAATGAATATATAAATAATAAATAACAAGTTTATAAACTTCAATGGGAATTGAAGTGGGGCGGTACGTGATCAAATCTTCTGAGAAGACCTTCGACCCTCACAAGATTTGATCAAGTGACCGACCCACTTCAATTCCCATTGAAGTTTATAAACTTGTTATTTATTTCTTAATTGAGGAATATGGAAGCTTCTTTACATCAACAAATAATGCGGTGTAAGGGCACGTCTGGCATTTCTGTTGACGCTTAGTACTCTAAGATTATGACGTCGCATCTGTATTTTCTTTCTTTCTTTCTGCTATGAAAAAGTACTGTTTTTATCAATGTATACATTTGAGCCATGTATTTAAATTATCTATCATTTGATATCTGAAATCCCAGACTTTTAAAAAAGGATATTGAGATAACAACGAACAGTATCCAATCTCAAAGTCCATAAAACGATACAAAACAAGGGCAGAGCAAAAAGATTTCTGGAACGAAATAAATCCTTCTTAATACACTGATGCTGCACTATTTTGTAATTAACCCTGGTACTTTTGATATCAAAGACGCTCAGCATTAGCCAAATACTTCTTTTTTTAAGTTTGTAACCTCCATATACCTCTGCTATGCTTGTACAAAAAGATATTTTTAATCTTAATAGCTTATATTGTAATTTCTTTTTCGAATGAGGCAATGAAAAATTGATTAATGTCATTCATATGTGGAATTTTGGATCATAACATATGGATTAAGAAAAAAATGAATAAATTCATTTGCTTGAGAAAATTAATTTTTATTCATGTAGTAACAGACCTACAAATACATCAAAGCTTGATTTCCATAAGCATTTGTACATGTATCCATGTTAGATATCCTCCGGTCTATCCAACCCAGCTGGCCACTTCCACGTAATGGAGCTGCCCGTCTCTATCCATGTAAATTTATATAATAGGTTAAGTGAATTCTGATTGGTTATAAACCATAAAAATGATACAGGTTGTAAGTGAATTCTGATTGGATATAAACATGATAAATAATGATATAGGTTGTAAAGTGCATTCTGATTGGCAATAAGTGATAAAATATTATATAGGTTGTAAAGTGCAAAAAGTCTGATTGGCTATAAATATATAATGAAATAATGTTGAAAGTGCATTCTGATTGGCAATAAGTGATAAAAATGATAAGTTGAAAAGTGCAAAAGTGGTGAATAACGATATAAGTAAAAAGTGCATTTTGATTGGCTATAAGTGATAAATAATGATATAATAATGTTGTGAAGATGCATTCTGATTAGATAATAATAAGTGTTGATATAAGTTGTAAAAGTGCATTCTGATTGGCAATACGTGAATGATATATGTAGTAAAGTGCATTTTGATTGGCAATAAGTGAAATATATAAGTTGTAATGTGCATTTTGATTGGCAATAAGTGAATAATATAAGCAGTAAAGTGTATTTTTATTGGCAGTAAATGAATAATATAAGTAGTAACGTTCATTCTTATTGGTAATAAATGATTGATATATGTAGTAAAGTGCATTTTGATTGGCCATACGTGATAAATGATAATATAAAATTAAATAAAAAAGTAACTTATGATACTTTGTTCATTAAATAGTATCCCAATAACTGAAAACATAGCATGTGTATATTATATATTCTTACTCCAAAGATTTCACAGCTCTCACTTCTTCTGGAAGTTGGTCCTCATTTACTGTAAAATATTCTTATAGGTGAAATACAAGTAAACATTAAATGAGTTTGTTTCCAAATTTAACACCTTGTTGCTATTTAAGGATAAATATATGTAACACAGAAAGACATTTTTATTTTAGAAATCTTCAATATTTCTCATAGATTTACATTTCTATTGGTAAACCGAATAATGATTTGCAAGTATAGTGGAATTTTTTTGAAATTCTGTGACTAAATTAAAAAAAAAAATGTGTAGAATTTTGTTTTGAATTATATAAAAAATCAGCAAAGTCTTTTTATCTAATCAACAAGGAAAACGTACGATTTCTTTATATTTCTAGGATTTAATTTTTATGTCATTTCAAATGAAAATCTGTGCAAAAATATAAATTTTTGCATCAAATTTTTGTTTATGTTAAGTACCCTTGGATTGTCTCTATCCTTATCGTTGGTATACAAGCAAAAACGAAATCAATTTGTTTCCAGGTTTTAAAGAGTTGTATTATTTGATCTGATTCTAAGACGGAATTAAAAAGTCAAAGTTGAAAAACTGGAGATTGATTAATATCCACAGCCTAGTTTTAATACGGGAAAGAAATGGGGAGGATCTAACTTATATCAAATGTGTGTTGAACACAAATGTGTGCATTTCAAAATTTCTAGGAAAGAAATTATGAGAAATATTATTTTTTTCAATGTTTTTTTTAATATTTTTTTTATAACATAGCTTTTCAATTTTGAAATTTGACTTTTGTATAGGATTATATACACACTGTGTTAAGTACAGTAATAATCTGCTTGTTAATAGAATTTTATCATCTGAATAGTTAACATTTTGACAGGAAAACACATTGTGTTGAAATAAAATGTCAAATTTAAAATTGGAAAGAAGAAATTTTGCTGATTTTTGATAAATGAAGGGAAGAAAGATAGAGTTCAAGAGAGGACATAGATGCTTTCAGATGACATTTACCCGGTGAAATCCCGATCGCAGATTTCTTTCTAAAACTATACTTTCTAGAGCCACCATTACCCCAAGCCGTGGAGAAGGAGATACACAACTGCATGTAGATCTGAGGAAATAAACATACAAATATAGATCTAAAGATATAAACATACACATATAGATGTAAAGATATAAACATACACATAAAGATCTAAAGATATAAACATACACATATAGATCTAAACATATTAACATACACATATAGATCTAAAGATATAAACATACACATATAGGTCTAAAGATATAAACATACACATATAGATCTAAAGATATAAACATACACATATATATCTAAACATATAAACACACACATATAGATCTAAAGATATACACATACACAAAGAGATCTTAAGATATAAACATACACATATATAAATATAAAGATATAAACATACACATATAGATCTAAAGATAAAAACATACACATATAGATCTAAAGATCTAAACATACACATATAAACCTAAAGATATAAATATACACATGTAGATCTAAGAATGTAGACATACACATATATATCTAAAGATATGGACAAACACAAATAGATCTAAAGATATGAACAAATACATAAAGATCTAAAGATGTAAACATACGCAGCTAGGTTAAGTCTTTCCAAAGGTTGGTTCAGAGCTTCAGGAAATCGATTATAAAGTCACGATGAAATTACAAAATAATTTCAGCGAATAAATAATTTTCTTTTTCATACTGTCTTAACTATTTGATTTCTTATCATTAGTGTACACATTAATTTACACGTAACCTATTTTGTCATGGTTACACTATTTGAATATAAGTTTAAAAACAACTTGATCTCGCTGTACTGACATAGATGACGTCATAGGCTAGTTCGACACACAGTTTCTTTGTACTTGAGACGCACATAAAGCTATTTTTGCAACTTAAAAATATGAAAAATAAGTCTATATAAGCATGATTTGACTAAAACTGAGTCTTTAATGCTTTTGTCAATATTTTACAGTCGTATTAAATTGATAACGAATAGGTCTCTTATAAAGCTGCAGTCATGCACGTAAAACAATCACATGCACAACCCCTCGTAAACCTCAAAAGTTTAACGATATCCGCTTAACTATATTTATTCACATGAAGCTATTGTCCATACTATCTGAAAAGTGCTGAGAGCAAGTTGTGCGCCGTTGGATTTTCCGTAATCTTGCATTTTTTTACGCGTATAGTGTTAAAGCACGAAGTTTATCAACAATTTATCAAAATATGGCTAAATTTTACATATTTTATATATTTCCCAGGCATCGGGAAGTTGATCCCAGTACTTTTTGGGATTTCATAGTGAAATATTTCCCGTATATCGTTAAACTTTTACGATTTTGTATCCGTATATATTTTTTTCTAATTTTGACCATATCACGTGAGAAACAGCTGATGATTCTAAAACTGCTATTCATTCATAGGATACACGTAGAGAAATAGACAAAAATTAAACGAAAAAGTGAATCAAAGGTAATACTTACAATCAAGTAAAGGCAGAGATATCGCATCATGTCGTTCAGCTTTAGAACAGTTGATGAGGAGCGTCCCTCCTGATACCTAATTATATATCCCATAGCCCTAAAACATGAATATTATACAATATCACGATGTTTTCAACATTTCCAATCAGAATTTCTGAAATTAGCATCAAATGTTTAAAAAATGGATTGCACGTTTTGCCAATAAGTGATCTTATGTTACCATTGTAAACCATGTGTTTCTGCGTTTCTGTTTAAAAAATCTTACAAAGAGCAATCGAAAAATCTGATGTTCTTCCAATAATCATGATTCAATTCAAATAAAAATATCAATGTTACATACCTTGCATTCTTTCCATGTATCTATAGGATAATTGGAGTTTAATTTTGTATGCCGAAATTAAATTTTATCTCATTTCAATTTTATGATTTTAAATTGTCCGTTTTAGTCATAAGTTCTTTGTAAAATAAAAAGTTGTGGTCAGAAATAAATGTTGCTTTTAGTCGAAAGTTCTTTGTAAATCGTGCATCTGGACTTTATTCCTCTCTGACATATTGTCTTGCTTTTCTTCTAAGAAAAAAATCAAGAATTCTCTTAATACAATAGGTTTGATAGAAATGTAAATGGTTTTAAAAATAGTCATTGACTATAAAAAATTTATTTGTTCAAAACACTTCATCTGATCTTGCTTTTCTGGGAACAAATGATAATTTAAAATTTAGGACTGTAGTTGTATTCCTGTTATGACATTTTTTAATTGGTTTCCCATTCGAAGTTTTTGAGATACTGCACTGTCACTGTCAGTACAACTACAAGCAAGAGGGTTGACGGTGAAGAAAGATTTAGGGGAAAAGAAAAGATCAGCGAAATATAAAGCAAAATCTCTCTCTCTCTCTCTCTCTCTCTCTCTCTCTCTCTCTCTCTCTCTCTCTCTCTCTTTCTCTCTCTCTCATTGATTTATATTATATTTATACTTAAATCATAAAATCAAGGAGTAGTACTTTTTTCTTGAAACTTTTTTTAAGGGCAGACGAGACGTTCGATCCTTAATAATATGTAAAAATCTCCAAGAGTTTTTAATTGAAGTATTGCTCCATAAAGATGTTTACTCACAAAAAATTGAGGTACCTTTCTAGGCATTTATGCAAGATACCAGAGGTAGTTTTTCTTATGTTATCCTTTTGGGAAGAAAAATATTTTTTGAATTTAAAACGTTTAAGTGTTTGGATAATTTTAAATAGTTTAAACTGGTTTAGAAACCAGAATGTTATTAAAATTTTAAATATTTTTATACATTACGAAGATATACAATACAGATTTTGAGGAACGTCTCGTCTGACCTTAAATTCATGCAAGAAATCAATTTATCTCATATGGGTTGGTGATACAGGCCGTTGGATAAACTTATGCTTTATCAACGGGTAGATGCTTTATCAATAGCACTTCCGGTTTTGACACGATCCTATCGCTTCAAGATTGTATTTGAAACTTTTATTTGTGATGGTTATTATTGCCCTAAATAATGAATGATAAAGAGCGATAATATCTTTAAAACCAGAAAAAGACTGGTATATGTCAAAGAAGTGTCTTAATTATTTTATCAAGGAACCTGTGTTGCCTATTTGTAGACAGATCTATATATCTTATCTCCCCCCCATTAAATCGTTTTCGGAGAAAGTAAAGCCTAGCAATTAAGTTGTTGTTAT